CATCAATACGAAGAATTGCAAAGATAGTGTTGTAATAGGAGATAATTCGACGCGCTCGGAGAGCGTCTTTTAAGGATTTTTACATCATCGACGTACAACATGAATCGACTATGATATACTCATCGGAAAGCGGAAAGTTTAATTATCGTACATCGTGTGTAGTATCGAAACGATGCGCGAACCTGGTTTTCCATTCCGTTCTCGGTCATCGGTCGATTTAAGTTGCATCAACTTGTCGCAATAAATCGGCAGCTGCTACAAATCTATTTGTAATTACCAACGTAGGAATAGATATCGTGCGTGCACGATAAACCGATTCGCGTGATATCGCTGTTACGAAAGACAATCATGTGGAGATTATATATAGTTATATATAGTTTTGACATTGCCAATATTCGACAGAAGGAGAGTAGTTAAATTATATCGGCTTCGTAGCGAGATAGCGTTATGAGGGAACGAAACCACTCTATTATAATATCGCAGATCGTCACAGCGTTTCTCCTCCAATCTTGAATTGAAATCGAACATTCAAAATATTATTTCATAAATAATCTATAAATTGCGTTCAGGGAGAGAAAAGAAAAAGTATGCAGACAACGAAACCTATTCCTTATTGGTCGTCTCGTTATCTTTAATGCTTTAATCGCTTGCAGTCGTTTCGAGGAAAAAGTAATAAAAGAATTCATATACCGGCTCTTTGTGTTTCAGTGTGGAGCGCGAGGCGTCGAAGAACATCGAGGAAAATGAGAGGGAATGTTTTAAAGATGCGATTGTGTCAAGCAGAAGTCTCAACAAAGGCTTCGTCGAACCTACTACTATTAAAAATGCCATACCGGAGGTATAATATAACATCACGGAAGGATTATAAAGAAAAAGCAATCGAATATCTAACTGAATCTATCCTTAGATCGCTTCCTGTATCATTGCCGCATCTTTCCATATATCGGTAGGCCTAGCTATGGCGTATTCAGCTATTTTGATTCCTCACCTTGAGGCTGAGGGCGCGGAACTGCATGCAACGCAAGAGCAGACTTCCTGGATCAGTAAGCAAACAACTTTCCACGTGCGATAGATTCGATAATAAAATTATTAAATTTATAAAATAGCAGAGAATGTGAGGTTTACGAGCAATAAATATTTTTACTATGACTGTTGCTACAATTCTAACAGCCAACAAAGATACACGTGAAACATTAAGGTTGGATAAAAACCAATTTAATAAATATGGCTAGTTTGCATAAAAAAAATTATGATTTTTTAAAACGACTTTTACGATTCTCCAAGTCCGATTGTTTGTGTATTTGCAAGGAGAAAATAAAAGAAACATATAGGAATGTTAAACGCGATCGATTTTCAGCTAGCGTGGTAGTAGTCTGCACACCTTTAGGCGCCTTGTTAGGTGGGTTTCTGATGGAGACGGTGGGAAGATTGCGAACCCTTCAATTCGGCTCTATTCCCTTCATCGCAAGCTGGATTCTAATAGCAATTTCGACCAACATACCAATGGTGCTGGTCGGTCGACTATTAGCAGGGCTAGCCACAGCCCTAGCAACTTCACCGGCAATCGTCTACATCACCGAGGTCGCACGACCCGAACTTAGGGGATCGATGATATCTTTCGGCCCGACTTTGGCCTCGTTCGGCATGGTGCTTTCGTACTTAAAGGGTGCATACATCCATTGGAGAGTGGTAGCCTGGTTTGGCATAATTTACGCAGTTGTACCAATTATTTTGGTACAATTCTTTGTCCCAGAATCGCCTGTATGGCTCGTTTCGAAAGGACGACTGGAGGATGCGAAGAAATCCCTTGAATGGTAAGGAGACATTAATGAATTAAGTTCGCAGTAAGTAATAAGACGCGATAACAGATAGGAAATCGACTTTCACTACCGAGAGATACGAAAGCATTCTGAACGTTCATGTATTTCAATTCACAGGCTGTACAAGCATGAAGCGAAGCAAGGGAAACTGTGCGCCGCGGAAGCACAGTTCAATACGATCGTAAAGGAGAACGAGATCAAATTGAACGAGCAAAGGAAAAGCAAACACGGCGGTGTCTCCACTAAACTCAGAGCGTTCCTGAAGCCCACAGGATGGAAACCATTAACGATACTTTTCCTATTCTTCTCTTTCCAACAGTTTTCTGGCATCTATATCACTCTCTTCTACGCTGTCACGTGGTTCCAAGTAAATAACAACGTTCCTTCACAGTATTGTAAATCGCCGATTTGATCGTATATTCTATGATCGTCGTAATTACTGTCATTCAGGAGGTCGGTTCCGGTGTGGACGCGTACATAGCCTCGATTCTAGTCGGTGTAACTCGTTTTTTGTGTTCGATGGTGAATACATGGTTGCTAAGGCGATACAAAAGGCGGCTCCTCTGTATAATCTCGTCTTTGGGAATGACTCTTTGTATGGCTGTTTCCGGTTATTATACCTATCTTATTAAGAACGGCGATCGTTCTGGATATTGGGTAAGCTTTCGATACCAAACGATACACATATTCTTCAATAAAGGTGACGAAATTGGCAATTACCTTTGATCATCTTGTTTATCAGGTTCCTGTCCTGTGTCTGTTGCTTTACGTTTGCACATCTATGGTCGGTATGCTGACTATTCCATGGACCATGACAGCCGAATTATTCCCCACCGAGATCCGAGGGATCGCGCATTCCATTAGCTACTCCATGGCCAACATGCTGATGTTCGCTGCTCTACAAAGTTATAGAAGTTTACAAGATTTCCTTGGTGGTACGTGTACAATATTTTACAGAAGCTATGTTTACTCACTAAAGTTTGCCCAAGTCGTCTTAAAGGTCTCATCATCGATAATTGTTATCAGTAATGAAAAAGAAATTCTGTCGGTAACTAAATAAGAATTGTATCATCGATAATGATTACCTTAACCACAGTAAAAAAAAAAAAATTATATAATATTCTTCCAATCTCGTTCCAAGGCTTTTCGTGATTTCCTTGTATAAAAATACTTGATAAGTTCATCAATATACTTGAGCAAATTCAAAGATTACTTTCATATGAGTCTGTTTCCCGTGTGCCAGTTTCTCGCCATAAGTGTTGTCACGTAAACTCTTGCATCTAATTTTAAATGTATCTTTTTTCCCATTTTTATTTTCATCATAGGATCGCATGCCGTGCAGTGGTTCTTCGCTGGTGTTTCGATAGCATCCGCCGTGTTCGTATGGCTGTTGCTTCCAGAGACTCACGGGAAAAAGCTTTCGGAGATCGAGGAATACTTCCAAAATCATTTCCTAGCAGTCGGCGCCGAGGCGAAAACGAAGAAACGACACGCACAAAGAAGGAAACAGCGTACTGATAAATCCGCCACAGAGCCATTGAATCCGAAAACAATGCAGAACGTGTAGATGCTTCCTTTTATGTGTGGCTGGGAAAATCACGAGGAAGAATTCCTAGCTGCGTATGTACATATAATGTCCCCTCTATACATGACATACGGATTATCTTTGTAGTTCAAGTTGTTACCTTCATAAAAACGCGAAGATGCGAGGATCAAATTAGTACAAACGAAGTACTACTTTGACATCATTAAGATTGATAGTACTTTGAGTTAGAGGAAAAAAGGAAGGGAGGGACAGAGAGAGAGAGAGAGAAAGAGAGAGAGAGAGGAGTGATATTGATTAATTACATTACGAAGTTGTGTAGTTTCGCACTTCAATATTTTTGTCCAAATAATAAGGAACAACAAATGAGGAGAAAAGAATCATCACGATAGAAGAAAGATTAGGAAATCTTCGACAATATTCCCAAGTTGAATGAAATACGAATGCGAATAACATGAATATTCCTGAAATATTTCAATATATGAGGTAAACGAATAACCTCAGTTGATACGGCGAAAATTTTAAAAAACAAATATTCATAGAATGATTGATATAT